AAAAAAAAAAAAAAAAAAAGAATGGAAAAAAAAAGAAAAAGCAAGCAGAAATACAAAACAGAAAACACAGCAACTTGACAGTGGAGTAAAGATGATATCTCAGAACAGTAGGATGATCAACACCATGACCTTTTTTTTTTCTTTTCCTTTTTTTTTCTTTCTTTTTCTTCCGCTTGTCAACGCTATGATGGTCCAGATCGGCAGCCGCTTTCTGAAAGAACTATCCCTGGGATGTAAGAACTCAAGTGGGCCAGTTTCGTCCCTCACTTAACACAAAAAGCCCGATGGACAGATCACTTTGCCCTGATGGGGACTGTATCAATACAGAGCCGTTCGGCAGAACACCGCCAGTATGCGGATGGAGACTATGCGGGGAGCAATATTGTGGACTCTCTGGCCAGTCAGGAAGTCCGCTGTAAAGGGAGGCGAAAGACTCTCGCCACCAAACGGTGCGAGCCGAAGTCAAATAATACGGGATAAAGATCTCGCACCGTTTGACGCAGTCTGCCAAAATCTGTCAAACGGTTCATGGTAATTTGGCAGACTGGCAGTAAAGAGTTCACATGACAGGCGTCCTTCGGGACATCCATTAAAATTGGAACGATACAGAGAAGGGTAGATTAGCAAATGGCCCCTGCGCTTTCAAGGATGACACGCATAAATCGAGAAATGGTCCAAATTTTTAATAAAAAAAAGAGTTCACATGACAGGCTGGTCGCAAAAATCTGTCAAATGGTTCATTAACCGTTGGGAAACACTGTGCTGCAATTTTTCTGCAGAAACCGTTGTCAAGCATTACTGACCGTCGAAAAGCCGGAGCGGCGATTTTTCTGCAGAAGCCGGAGCGGCGATTTTTCTGCAGAAGCCGGAGCGGCGATTTTTCTGCAAAAACCGGAGTGGCGATTTTTCTGCAAAAACTGGAGCGGCGATTTTTCTGCAGAAACCGGAGCGGCAATTTTTCTGCAGAAACCGGAGTGGAGATTTTTCTGCAGAAACCGGAGCGGCGATTTTTCTGCAGAAACCGGAGCGACGATTTTTCTGCAGAAACCGGAGTGGAGATTTTTCTGCAGAAACCGGAGCGGCGATTTTTCTGCAGAAACAGGAGCGGCGATTTTTCTGCAGAAACCGAAGCGGTGATTTTTGTGCATTGTTTTTGTGAAAGGGGTGGGGAGAGGATTGGCTTCGAGGGGCCGGTAGTTTGATGCTTTAATCAAATCACGGGGTGCTTTCTTTGTTGATTCAACTTGATTGAATTAGCTGTTGAATTTTGGAAAGGTCAATTTGAATTTCAGGAGGGGAGAGTGTAAGTAGTAGGAGGGATATGTTCTGATATAGGTTGAAGATGCTGTTAGCAATCTTGCTGGTGATTTTTTTGCATGCGATTCTTTCTTTTGGAGTATCATGAGTAAGTGGTGTAAAAATCAGCAGGCTGATAGTAAGTGGAGTACTCAGACATTTCTGTAAACGCTACGGTAGTGTCGTTGGTAACCGTAAGGGCCCCAGGGCAGTAAGGGGCCCAGGGCAGTACGGGGCCCAGGGCAGTACGGGGCCCAGGGCAGTACGGGGCCCAGGGCAGTAAGGGGCCCAGGGCAGTTTGGCAATAAGGGGCCCAGGGCAGTAAGGGGCCCAGGGCAGTTTGGGCATTGTCGCTGGAGTCAGGGTTAAGTCAGGTCGCCGGAGTGCCTGGCTCATCCCAAAGATTGCAGCCTATGTATGATGTGAGGGACGCTGGGCCCGGTTCTCAGCCTGTAATGAAATTTCTTTGCCTTTTTTTTTTTTTTTTTTTTTTTTTTTTGTAAAGAAGAAGAAGAAGGAGAAGAAGAAGAAGAAGAAGAAGAAGAAGAAGAAGAAGAATTGGGCAATTTCGAGTTTGCATGATACGTACATGAGCTTCCGCGGAAGACGCAAATTTCCAATCCTCACACGTTTAAGCGCCTTGACCTGTGACAGCCACAACCGGAGCTTACCAGAGTTAGCAGTGAAACACATCGAAGCAGGCTGCCTGGGTCTATTCATCCACGGGAAGACCATGAAGGTTGAGTTACTGACCGTTAATAACAGTTTGGGCATCAGAAGATTTTGTGAAAGGAGGACTACCCCCGCTCATGTGGCTGAACGGTCACACATGTAATTGACAAGTGACAACTAATTGTTAAATAAACAGATCATGGGTTTGATAACTTCGATCAGCTTTGATGATTTGGTCCCGATTGAATCATATAGGATGAATAAGAATGTAATGATTAGAGTATCATTATACTAAGTAATACTATAGTATCATTATAGTATAGTGATTATTCTAAGAAATATTATTTATAATTAAATAATTCAATGTACGTTTTATTTCTCTCCAAGGATTGTCTTATCTTATTCCTGGAACACAAGTCATAAAGACAGCTTGCTGGAAAGGTTTAGTAAATTACTAGATTACTAGTATTAAATTAGTCTTAAAATTACTAGATTACTAGTATTAAATTAGTCTTAAAATTACTAGATTACTAGTATTAAATTAGTCTTAAAATTACTAGATTACGAGTATTAAATTAGTCTTAAAATTACTAGATTACTAGTATTAAAATAGTCTTAATTTCTCTTAAATTAAATTTGGCCACACACAAAATATGTCATTATACATGCAGGAGTAAACCGTTTGTGTTTAACACTTCGCACTCCAGCAGGATTAGACCGTTGTTCGGTGCCAACATGTCCAGCACGATCAAGACCCTGTTTGTGTTTAGCACGTTTGAAGTTTGCACTCCTCTGTCTGAAGGGGAAGGGAAAAAAAAAGGATCCGGACATAGGAAAACTGGAACCCCAGGTGGAAAAACACATGCACACAAAAAGAACATTATTAATTTACATGAAGGCAAAAGAGAGAAGGAGAGAGGGAGGTAGTCATCGGGTTTGACACAGACCTCTACTCCTGCTGCCTTCATTAGCTCTCGAACCTCTCGGGTGCGCCCCTCGCCAATCTGCCACCATAGCCAGAATCAATAGTGAGGAGGAGGGCAGATGGAGAGAGAAAGCCGATGAAGATACCGCTTCGCTTTGCAACTGTCAAAGACAATCACTGACCATAAGATCAGGAAAAGTTTTTTTTATTTCTTTTTTTTTCTTTTTTTAGTTGCACTTGATGATGAGTTCCATCAGAAAGGCATTGCAAAGACAACTATTCACAAAATGCAGTGGATACCTGCAGACCAGATGAACAATCTATATCATCCTCCCCCCATCAGTTTCTCTACTTCTCAAGATCCTCAGACAAAGAAAGTTTTGAAGTGCAAAAATTTGTCAAACCAAAAAAAAAAAAAAAAAAAAAAAACTCAGCGCAGTGTTGTTGGTGAACGCAAAGGAAAACCGAAAACTTCCGAAAAACAATCACCGATCCTGCACCAGAGAGTAACTCAGAACTAACTCTGCATTGAACCCCACTCAGCTCATGTAAGCTGTGCTGCAAAACTGAGAAGACGGGAAAGGCCATCGTCACACAAAGAGTAGATGCCCAAAACTTCGCACAACTTAATGGAGAAGTGCAGCTGTAATCAAATGTGCATTCACCAATCGGTCCTACAAGAGCAGAACTTACCAGAAGAGACAGCTGAATCCCACATGCAACATACAAGTGCTCTCCTTGAAACTCCTTGGTCTTCTCCCCTTTTTTCTCTCTCCATATCGTGCGACCTAAGTCCGAACATATCAAAGACACTTCTCTGCACCAATTTCTTTCTGCATCTCTCTCTCTCTCTCTCTCTCTCTCTCTCTCTCTCTCTCTCTCTC